GAAGAATCTGCATAAATGTATATATGTTTCTCGCACTGTGATAAAACAATGGTACTTAGATCCATCAAATTTTGAATAGCCTAATCTTCCACCCGCATATGGGCATCTGAAAGCCCTGATTTGAAATTTGTTTTATTATCTGTTTCATATCTTGTAAATCTTTAATGAATTTTTTATTAACAAGCTAAACTAAAGGGGAGGCACCTTAGCCATCCTTACGGGTGTCAATCGGCTGGTCACTAGTCCTTGTGTCAGTGGCTTTGGGATAAGCTCTCAGGAGTACCTGCTTTTGGGAAAGCCGACTGTGAGGCTTCAGTTTGCATATAGGTCTGTCTAGCCCTAACAAAGGAATCTGTGTTTCCTTGTTAAACTCCATGGTGGGCGGGACCGTCGGACCTGAATCTTTTCTTTCTTCAATATGGCCAACTCTCACATTTATCTAATTAAAGACTTCGAAGTCACTCAAGTCGCTTCAAGCGCTAGTTCTGAAAAATCTACTGCTAAAAAAGTATGTACAGATGCAAATGCAAATAATCTAATAATAGTGCCCATTTCCTTGTTATCTCTAGTCCTTTTGGCGAGCTGCAAAAGATATCTCCTTTTGTGATAAATAAGTACATTTATTCTTGTATTAGTCAGCCCAGAAATATAAAGCGTCTCTATTCTGGAGATTTGCTTGTTGATACAAATTTAGCCACCCAGGCTGCTTCTTCACTTCAAGTAACAAATCTTTGGTAATTAAATGTCACTGTAACAGCACATAAGACATTGAATTATTGTTGCGATGTAATCTTGGAAATCAACCTTCTGTGTGTTCCTGAAGAAGAGATTGCATCCGAGCTATCTAGCCGAAATGTCTGTGGTGCTAAGCAGATCAAGATGCATAAAGAAGATCGGTTGATCGATACAAAACACATGATCCTGACCAAAAGAACAAAAATCAATCGTAATGGCCACCCTCGTTTCATGGAACTGTTGCGGTTTCCACCAAAATTTGCTTGCCATCAAAGCTATAATCAGTGCTTATCATCCTGTGTGCTTAGCAGTACAGGAAACAAATCTGAAACCAAAACAACAAGCAAAACTTTGGAGGTTTTCTTTCATTAGGAAGGATAACTTTGCAAGTGAGCATGCCAGTGGGGGTGTAGGCTTCCTCACTTCAGTGGGCTATCCATCAAATGCACTACCTTTGATGACATCTCTTCAAGTTGTCGCTACTCAAGCAAATTTTCATACTGTTGTCTCAGTCGTTTCTCTGTATTTACCTCCAAATGAGCACATTGATCAACAAGATTTAAATGGTCTCATAGAGCAGCTGCCTCACCCTTTTATCGTAATAGGGGATTTTAATGGCCATAGTCCGCTCTGGGGAAGTAAAGACACAAATCCTCGAGGAAGATAAATTGAGCAGATGATTGAAGATCATAGCCTTTGTCTGCTGAATAATGGGCAGGATACATACTTCCATGAACCTTCAAGGACATTCCACGCTCTCAACCTTGCCATCTGTTCACCATCTTTGTTGCCATTTTGCACTTTTAGTGTCGGAAATGATCTTTACAACAGCGATCATTATCCCATTTTTGTTTCTCTTGCACGAAGAGGAGCAAACACCATGTCAAGATCCCCTCGGTTTATACTTGATAGGGCAGACTGGGAACTCTTCTCTTCCACTGCAGAGCTCACAGAGAACACAGTAGAAGATGTGCATATTGATGATGCAATTGAAGCAATTACTAATGCTATTATTCAGGCAGCTATGCTCTCCATCCCTAGGACATCAGAAAAAATGCTAAAGTATTCGAAACCATGGTGGAATCATGACTGTCATGAAGCACTGAAAAAACAGAAAAAGGCATGGGGAATGTTTTGCAGATACCCTACTTTGCAAAACCTTATAGCATTTAAAAGAGTCAAAGCAAGTGTGCGAAAAGTAAGAAGGCAGAGCCAGAGGGATTTCTGGATGGCATATGTGTCATCAATAAATCCTCTATGCCTCGTAAAGAGGCTTAGCAAAGAGTTAGAAAAGCATGTGGAATATATAAAGACCACTCACTTTCCTTTTTGGAAAAAGATGGCATGGTGATTAGTTTTATAGAAGAAATTGTGAATACTATTGATGAGACATTTTCTACCGTTTTTTCCAGCAGAAATTACTCACCTGCATTTCTTTCTATCAAGCAGCGCTCTGAGAGAAGTCCCATCGCTTTCAACTCTTCCAACTTTGAGCCTTATAATAGAGACTTTACGATGCTTGAATTAAGGAAAGCTTTGTTGCAGACACATAAGTCTTCTCCAGGTCTTGATGGCGTGAATAACGAAATGCTGAAGCATCTGTCCTGACATAAGTCATTGACTGCCCTTCTCACTCTTTACAATAGAGTATAGAAGGAGCTTACTTTTCCCAGTGCATGGAGGAGAGCTGTTGTAATTCCTATTGCTAAACCAGAAAAATATCCAAGGAATCCCTCCAACAATTGACCAATTGCCCTTACGAGTTGCATATGCAAGCTGTGGTTAAACGCAGCGTAGTCTACTTTATCACAACCTTCTATTGCTTGGTCAAAGCGGTTTTCGAAAGGGTAGAACAATCATAGATAACATGCTCCTTTTAGAGACGTCTATTCGAAAAGCTTTTGTAAGAAAAAGTCACCTTGTCTCAGTATTCTTTGACATTGAGAGAGTTTATGGTAAGGCATGGAGATACGTTATATTTTGGGATCTTCAAGACAGTGGCATACGTGGCAACCTACCATTTTTCATTCAGAACTTCTTGAACCCTAGAACTGTTTTCAAGTAAGGATTGGATCTGTTTTGTCGGATGTTTTTGAACAGGAAGAGGGTATACCTCAAGGCTGTGTGCTTAGTGTAATCCTGTTAAGCTTAAAAATAAACTCTGTATTAAAGGAACTTTCTCCCACCATCTTGAGATCTCTTTATATTGATGATCTACAGATTAGCTGTCGAGGGGCAGACACGAGATGCGTAGAGAGGCAATTGCAGATTTCTCTGAATGAGATCCAAGGATGGTCAGACAAACAGGGATTTACATTTTCAAAACAGAAAATTTTGTGTGTGCACTTCTGTAGGAAGCAAGGTCTCCATCCAGAGCCTGGGTTATATCTGAATGGTATAATTATTCTGGTTGCATCTGAAGTAAAATTTTTAGGAATGACGTTCGACCGAAAATTTACTTTCCTTTCTCATGTTTTAAACCTGAGAAAAAAGTGTTTGAAAACATTAAATATTTTTAAAATCTTGGCGAACACCTCCTGGGTGAAGAGCGTTGCTCCATGCTTCATATTTACAGAATGCTTGTCTGCTCTAGACTGGACTATGGCTCAGTTGTTTACGGATCTGCTCGGTCATCAGTATTGTCAAAACTAGGTCCTGTTCACCATAAAACTTTGCCGTTTTGTTCTGGAGTTTCAGGACATCTCCTGTCCAGAGTCTTTAATGTTGACTCTAACGAACTACCACCTTATCTAAGGTGTGAGCAGTTGTCTCTTTTGCAGTATTTTAATATTTTATCACAACCTGAACATCCTAATAAGCTGTGCTTACTTGAGAATGTGTGTAGCACTTTATTTGAAACACGTCCATCCTGCGTGCCTACCTTTCCTTCAAGAATTCGCTCTATCATTGAGGAACTCTCCCTCTCAGATATGTGCTCAAGCAATGCAGAATTTAGAAATCTCCCCTTAGAAAAATGCATGTAACCAGCTTCTTAATGTTTTTAACAATCATGGGAAGGCAAGCACTAATGACATCGTATACAGACAACTCTGCTGAGCACAAGCATAAATTTAGTAGTTATCTTCCAGTATATACAGATGGATCCAAGTCAAATGATCATGTCGGGATGGCATTTGTAATGAAGATCACATGGGGGGTAGATGCTTGCACCATGCTTTCTCAGTCTTAACGTCTGAACTAATTGCAATATATTATAGTATTTTTTACATCTCAAAGCTCTGCCACAAAAAGTTCATAGTTTATACAGATTCCTATAGTGCGCTTAAATCATTAGAAGCTTTTCCCAGCACTCAAAATTCAGTAATAGTGGATGTTCTCAAGATTCATATAAACTTAATGAGTCGTGGATATGAGATCCTGTACTGCTGGCAGCTATCACAGCGAAATGTGCTGTTGAACTGTCCAGTCACCTCATCTCTTTTAGAAACATCTGTTGTGTTGTCAAAGAGAAGATCTGAAACAAAATGGCAGCAAGGATGTTCAGCTTCATAACAAGTTGAGAAATGTAAAGCCTAGAATTGAGCATTGGAATTTTACCAGAAATCATAAGGAGGAAGTTCTTTTGACTCGCCTCAGAATTAGTCACACTAGAATGATACATAACTACCTTTTGAAAGCTGAGAATGAGCCTGTTTGTTCAAATGGTAATGTTTGTCTATCAGTCCATCATATTTTAATTGATAATTTAATAATTATAATTTAATATAATTTAATATTAATAATTTTAATAGTCTTCATCAGAAATATTTTACTAGCTGTGACTTACCTCTCAATCATTTAATCAAAAGAGAGGTCAATTGTAATTTATTTTATTATTTAAAAGAGACTGGCTTTTATTACTTAATCTAATCTGTTTTGAAAGTTTGTGTATTGTATTTAAATGTGCACTTTTATGACTTCATCCTCTGGATTTGGTACATTTGTCCACCTTTTTATGTACTAAGAATTTGTTTTTATTTCATCAAATTAGATCATCCTACCTCATGTTTGGCGCATTATAATCATCTTTGGTTTTTGTTTGGTGCCAAAAATCTCACTCACTCAAGTTTCTTGGTTTTAGAATTAAAAATGGGAGAATTATTGAGACATGTAAATATTTACCTCAAGTAAAAGTTCAGATTTAATATTTTTTATTATTTTATTTCATTCTGTTGTGTTATTGTGATAAAAAAAAGTTTGTTTTGAATCTTTATATTTCTCTTTCTTTATGTATTCAGAAAGTCTAATATCTGATCTTCTTTTAGGACAACGAAAGAATTGATTGGCATGATTATTCTCAAATTGAAATGGAAAAGAAAAGTAAAGGCCCTGGCGAGCAAGGCGTTGCATTCTACTTACCCCCTGGAAATGAAAAGCGGAAAGAAGAACTTTATAAAGTTAATGGTTTCAATGGTTTGGCTAGTGACTTTATTGCTATAAACAGATCTGTTGCTGATATCAGGCATAAAGAGTAAGTTAATAAATTGATATAAATATTTGTTGAATTTTTTTTAAAATTTGATTAATTAGTTAATGAAATTTTATCAAACTTTGCCATTTGTGCCATTATTTTAGCTTTAAAAGTCCTAACAAAATGTAGAATGAGAAGAGCCCATATGCAAAGTAATGCTCTCCTCAATTATGCAGAAGATTATGCAGTTCATGTGATGCTATCTCTGTTCACTGAACTCATTTAATTTCTGTAAGTTAGTTTTTTAATATTATTCAAAGAATATTTGATTATTTTCAGAAACAAGAGGAGCTGAAGTGTGTTCTAGAGGAATATCCTGTTTTCTGAATAAGATTGTCTACAATTCTGCTCATTGCTTATTTTTTGCATTCTAGTTTTTGATTTTTCGAAGTCTTTTAATTGCTAATCACATTTTTCTTTTAAATACATGAAAAATTTTCCATTTTTTATAATCCAAGGCTGATGATCTAGCTAATAATTTCTCCTTTTGTTATTTACTGATGCATTTTTTATTAATGTTCTATTCACTTTTGTCATTGCTGTCTACTGTCGTGAGCTCTGCCTTTTTTTATCAGAGGTTTTCTTGAAAAGGTCATATGCTTAAGTTCATATCCATGTATCCTTATTTAGATCCATTTCAAGAAATATGTTTGTTATTTGGATCCAGCTATTTTGGAACAATTTATTGTGTACTTTTCCCATTTTAGTGAATGATCTGAATTCCATTATTACCAAACTTTTTTTTCTCTCCTTTTTTCCACCTATATGAGAAGCATATTACTTTTGTAAAATTTCTTCATGGTTAAATATCTGAAAGTTTCTACTGTGGACATTTGAGATGACCTTATTGCTTTGATAAATAATTAGTATTAATGAATAATCAAATATTTTATATATTCTGTTATCATAAATGTTATTTTAATTCTTATGTTTTATTCCATGAAACCAGTTGTTTGAAAAAAAAATATCTAAGGAAGCTTCCATCTGCTAGCATTGTGGTTCCCTTCCACAATGAACATCTGTCAACTTTGTTAAGGACTGCTACCAGTGTTATAAATAGAGCACCATCACACCTTATTAAAGAGGTGATATTGGTTGATGATTTTAGTACAAAAGGTGAGGAACTAAATTATTTAGAAAAAAATTGTTAATTTGATCTCTTGATGTCTAATATTTGAGAATTTCAATGTTTTAAAAATATTTTTGGGAAAAATATATTTCAGTTAACCCTTGATAAAAATTGGCGATTTTTTTGGCTCCATTCCTGTTGGTGTGCAATATCCTTCCAAGTAAAATAGCGTCCAAAACATGATTAAAACATAAGAAAATTATGATCTCAATAAACTGCATTTTAAATTTTTAAAAAAAATGGAAATACGTGTTACTAATCCGCACAGTACAAAAATGAAATATTGACTTACTTTATTTAGAAATTTCTGTGTGCGACACACAGAATTTCTTAACAGCATTAAAAAAATAAAATCAAAAATATCCTCCATACTGCCAGTGGCATTTCTTTTGAAAATCCCTTTTTATTACACCCCACATACTTTGCATGTAGTTGATATGAGCTATGGTTTCCGAATTCTTAAATGTCACTGCATAATTTACTGAGAGATGAACAGAACCATTTAAATCTTCATTTACATACCAATCAATCAATATTTTCTATCCTGTTCATTCCAAATCGTACAGAAACTTCAGTTTAATCTTACCACTGACAACCATTTTACAGTAAGCACAAAATAAGCTATGTACTTTCTAACTGACAGCCAATACAGAAATAAGCCGTGAGAAATATTTTCTCAATAATCAAAACCACTGCAATCACATATTACAATCAATCACGTCATAATAGGGGTTCCAAAACATTAAACGTAAAATACTCAGGTTACCATAAATAAACAACAACTTGATGATAATCCAAAGGGTACTCTAAAATATAGACTACCCATATTTATTATTTTTTAAAACCTTTTATATGTTATCACCTTATTTATTTAATTATTTTGTTATTTTCTGTTTGTCTAGGTTCAGAACATAAAAGTCTAAATAATTTAGTTTTATGGTGATTTAAGGACTACACTTAGGTCTTGTACATAAAGCTTTGTTTTATCAAAAGTAAATGATGGGGCAGAAAATATGTAATGTTTCCCAAAGTTAAAAAAATGTGCATGATAAAATTTCAAGGGAGTCTGGAGAACATGCATTCTAAGAATATAAAAATATAAATTTGTAATTTTTAGGGGGGGGGGGAATTATTTTCAGTTTTTTTTAAAGTTTCTGTAATTGCATATTTTATGTTTTTAATAATTATTATTCCTTCTCTTTTTGTATATTTATATTAAACATCTTGCAGATCTATTTATTGTTTCCAGTAAGTGAATTTTATGTCCTGACATAGTAAAAAGTATTGGCAGAAATGTTTGTCACAAACTTTATACATAAATGATCCAGTAAAATAAACACTTAGTTACATCTGAAACCATTAAATCTTTTGGTTCTTTCTGATTATCCACAGGCTTGCTGCCAAAAAGTATTCATGAAGCAATGCATTGTGTTGCCAAAATGTATTTATATGGCAATACAGGCATGCACATACAAATGAGAATTCATTTTCACCTTCAAATTTAATGGCTATTTTTATGATTAGTGCTTTTTCATATGAATACATTTTTAATTTTCTCATAAGGAATTATAACGAGGCTGTAGAGTTTGCCAGTTAATGAAAAAGAAATATGTATAGCCAATAATGGGCAACAACTACAATGTCTTTATATTATATCAAAATTTTAATGTTCACATATAGGTTATTTACAAAGCAATGGATGATGACAGAATTTGATTGTCAGCTGCAAAACATAAATGGCAATAGCTGCCAGTGCTTCAAAGTATGCCTTTTGTTATCTATGTCTAAGTTCATCTCTCACACAATAGAACAGAGAAGCATGGACTACCATTCGGTGACAAGTGAGCACATCTGTTGTCAGAGGCAGGCACCACATTTTGGCTAATCTGGGATCATCTGGCACACCAGGCAATACTGAAAATATGAAGAGTACAAAAGCAAATCTGAAAAGATACTAGAATGTGTGAAAATAAATATTTGCATGACATAAAGTTTTTAATTATTTCTCAGTTCTGAAAATGACAAAATGAGCCAGTTTCATCTTCAAGGTTCATTTGTAATTTTTAGACTCTATTTTTCAATTTGAAACATCATTTATTGTTTCTCTCTTTTCTATTTCACACTTGTCTTAGCAATGGTCTTGTATCAATATTCTATACTGCAATTCCATGATTTAAGAAATTCAGTGCATGTCATCATGCAGTTGGCTCCTTCATGAATTCTTTCACTGACAGCATCATATGTTTCCTCCTTTAGTTATCCGCCTTCATTTTTCAGAAGTCTGTTCTGTCTATTATTTACAAATTACTCATTTATAAGGCTTTGTTGCAACCAATAATTATGTATTTGTATGCTTGTTCTGTATGAGGATTATGCATACAGTTCTTTCCATACTTTCCCTCTAAGTCCCCATTTGTGCATCATAAGATTAAATATATGATCATAAGATTAAATATATGATATAATTAATTAAATGTATGTAGTCAATCAATTGTATGTATTCGATCTCGCACTTGTAGGAAGTGCAGAATCCGGGTTAATCTTTTCTCAAGAACGAACCCTAGATATTTTAAAGTATTGTTATTTTTAATAGGGACACACCTCTATCATAACCTTGGTGGATTTTTTACCAGTTTTGAGTCCTTAAATGTTGTCATTTTTGTTTAGTGTTATTAAAACTAAGTTTATATTTATTACTCCATTTTTCTCTATTCTCTAATGCTTTCTTTGCTTTTCTTTTCAAGTCTGTACAATTTCTACCACCAGTAATGATGATGAAATCATTGGCGTGTGCTTGAAGAGTGGCATATTTTTTAACTTTAATGCCATATTAGCTACAATGTTGAATGAAATTGGACTTAAATTAGATCCTTTAGGTACGCCCTTGTAATAAATTTTCAGAACATTGACACTTTGTATGATAATCCATTGAACATTGATCTCTTTTGTATATGACTTTTCTATTATGAAGATAATTTTCTGGTAAATTATAGAGATTTGCTGAACAATTAAGATCTTGGATTGTGGCAAGTATATCCAGCCATCAAAGATTATTAAAGGCGGACATCACATCTAGAAAAATTACACAAGTGTTCTAATTTCAAACATAATTATCTTTCATGATAGTTATGAGATTGTCTAATCCATCCACTGTTCCTTAGTTCAGCATAGATCCAAATTGATGCTGATGTAACAGTTTGTTACTCAAGAGAAAGTATGCAAGTCTTTGTGCTAATAGTTTATCTAAAATTTTGCCCCACATAGAAAAAAGGCATATTGGTCAGTAGGCACTAGAACCTGATTTATCTTTTCCTTTTGGGGGAAATAACACTAAATTAGTGACTTTCCAATCCATGACTCGGAAAAAGAGCTAAACTTAAGTCAAGAGTTCATGATATGCAAGAAAACTGGAAGTTATAAGATAATATTAGTCTATTATAAAAGAAAAGTTCACTATTATTTTGTCAGAAGTTCTTCAACCTATTCTAAAGTAATTCCATCGATACCTGGTGCTCTACTTTTATTTCCCATTTTAAAGATATCTTTAATCTCATTATGAGTAAAGTAGAGATCATTTTGAGTTCTAATAGTAGACTTAGTTTTTCTCTTATTGAAGCATGTTCTGCAGTACCTGCCAACATATCATCTTATGGAAATTGAAAGGAAATAATGTATTCAAAATTTCTTGGACATTCATTGTAAATGAACCATCTTGTTTTTGTATTTAATAAAGTTGCAAAGGGGAGATGCTTTTCCCTTTTGACAAGTTCTAGTAAGTGCCAAATGGTGACTTGGGGGAAAGATTTTCCCAAAAATTATTCCAATAATTAGCCTTGATTTTGTGGGTTAATTCTTTTGTCCACTAAGGATGTGACTTTAAGATTTTGGAAATTTAATTTGACTTTAGAAAGGTTTTGGTAATTTTATTTGACTTTAGAAAGGTTTTGGTAATTTTATTTGCAATTGTGTTATTATACAGATTATGTAGTTCCTGTGTAGTGTATTTAATTAATTTGTCTATTTAATTTTCTGTATGTAAATCTCCAGCATATTGAAAGTCAATAGATAAACCTTTCCTTAAAGGTATCTAGTCAGTCCGATACAGTTTCACTCTTTGCTTATTATTTTGCAGAATTAAGACCTTGTCTAATTTCAATGAAATGATCCAGTGGTCATTTAGACTAATATTATCTTCTAACTTCCAGTAATTAATACATAAATCCCCATCGATTTTTACCATAGTGAGATCTAGCCGACTCGCCTCAATTGGCTATGTATGTGACTGGACTATTAGGGTCATTCCACAACGTAAAACCTGCAGCTACAAAATCATGTACTTGAATTCCTCTGAAGTTTTTGTGAGAAAGGTCCCAGAGAAGATATTTGGTATTAAAGTCACCTGTAATGATAACTGAAGTATTATTAAACTTCCGTGAAAGACTTATGTCAATCAGTATATCATCTAAAGGCAAAGATGGTGGGCAAAAGATAGGACAATAATATAAATGGATTGGGTCTTGCAATTAAGACTGATATAGTATACTCTGAACAATACATCTCCAAGACTGAGAAACTGAAATTAGATACTATGTTTGCCACTTTTGAATTAGAGTCTTTGTTGTACTAGCTATAATTGAGTGGAAAATGTGCAATTATATATATTTTTTATTTTTTATGTATTTTTTTTGGGGGGGGGGACATATATATGGTTTTTGACTACAAGCCAATACCAGGGATTTTTATTAATCTAAATTTGCACTATTGTAGAGTTGTACTCTTGCAGCACTGTATATTTAATTGAATAATACATAATTTATCCAGAATTTATTTTTCTTTTTTATAATCTGATTCTTTCTTTAACATCATGAATAAAACTGAGATCTAATTTATACTATTGATTTGCTTGTTTACAGTTAATACAACAAGATTCCACAGCTAGACAATCTATGCTGATATATCCTTTGTCTTTGCATTTGGAGCATCTTTG